AACGTTGAATAAATAGCAAGAAACATCAACGGGTGTGGTCACTGGCGGAGTTATCCGTCTGTGTAGCCGCAATGTGGACGTGGCGAGGGCGGAACATTTAGCTTTCTGAACACCGTAACACATTTCTGTACAAGTACAGTGACTTTACAACAGCACCTTACCGTCTTTTACACCACAATTGTAAAACACTGTTAAATATGTATCAATATGATTTATGTTGACAGTTCAATCAGTCAGTTAGCAATAAGAGTAGTGATTTAAACTGTAGTAATTTAATTGCATAAAACTATGCGTTGATGTAAATTTCTGATGTTAAAAGAGTATGGTACTGTATTTAAAAAAAAAACAAACAAACAAAAAGGCACCACCAGCAAATGGCTCTCCTCTCTAAATGTTGTCAACTTGGAAAGAGACTCTGGATGACCACCTGATGTTTTTCCATCAGTAATGCATTATTTGCGCCGTCAAACACAGACCGGAACCCTGCAGCCGAGGTCAAAGGCTTGCTTACCTCCGTAATAGCCCGCTATTTTTTTTTTTTTTTCATAAACGCCATTTCATCCGGAAATCCATTTGTGCCAACGCGCCTGCTGTGGGTTCAGTGAGGAAAAAAAAAACCCCAAACAAAAAACGTCACGCTTGCTCATCTTTCACCTCCCAGTCAAAATTGCTGCGGGCTTGACTGCTTCTTTGACACAAAGTGCCTTTTAGGAGGACAATTTCGAAGTGATGTCTTCACAGAAAATATGTCATTTCCCAGTCACTACTCTGCGCAGTTTGTAAGGGAAGCTAATCAGTGGGTGTGTTTGTTTTAATATGTTAATATGCACGTTCCCTGTGATGAGGGATTTTGCATTTGGAGCCAAGTGGGGGTCCGTGGCCCACCAAATCCAGCAGATGGCACTGGGGTGGAAAAAAAGAGAAGCTAACTATCGTTACTGAATATGCAAGTGCCAATTTGTTGGGGGATTTTGGGCGAGCATGTTAAAACGTACTCGCAAATATGGTCGAACGTACCGCAGTGACCCACCAAATCCAGTAGTGGGTATACAAAAACTTTGATATGTGGTAGTTGGCTTGAGAAATGTACAATATCATCACCTACTGGACCGATGTGGAACAGCATCAACATGATTTTTCAATCAAACAGGCATCTTCAGGATTGTAGTAGCCCAAGAGTTTTTCCAAATAACAATCTCACAGTCGATGCTTCTTATTGATATATCATCATCATCATCATCATCACTTTTTTTTTTGTTTTCATCTCAGGAAGACTGATGTTTGCTTGCAACACATTCAACGTATGAGTACCTCGTGTGTGTGTGTGTGTGTGTGTGTGTGTGTGTGTGTGTGTGTGTGTGCGTGTGTGTGCGCGTTTGTCTTTCGGACATCTCAGGACAATTGTGCCCGAGTGGGTGTGTGCATTATTTATCATGTGCGGCATGTTGAGGTTATTGCGGCTTTCCGCTAGAAAGCCTCCAAATGAAATCTGCATCACAAATGCGCATGACTCACTCCTGTGTTTACCCTTGTGGAAAAAAAAAAAAAAAACCAGAAAAAAACGAACACGCGCTGCTAAGAGAGTACATTTTCAAATCCCATTAACCTGTGGCTGCATCCTCGCGCCAATGTTCTGGATGCATTTCAGGTCTTGACCTGACATGTCATGTCTCCTGGGTGTCTTTGCGCAGGTTAACGTCATTCAAATATGTCAAAAGGGAGCAGCTGTCAGCTCAAGGGGAATAAGATACAAAAAAAAGAAAAAAAAAAGGAAGATTATGGCTGTGTTTGCAATCTTTGGATGAAACTCGAAAAAACTAAATTAGAACTCAATGCGGACTTTGGATTCCTGACTTTGGATTTTCTTGTCTGCGTTAATCAACATTTTTGTCAAGGAAATAAAATGAAAACAAAAATGCTTTTCAAACTGAACTGAAACTACGTCTTATATTTATAACAATAATTAAAAGCAACCGTCTCTGTGTGCCCTGCGATTGGCTGGCAACCAGTTCAGGGTGTCCCCTGCCTACTGCCCGAAAAGGGCTGGGATAAAGCGGATCAGAAAATGGATGCATAGATTAAAAGCAACTGTAATTGCCACGGAAATGTCCTTCCTCTCTGAGTTTATTTTAGATGTATGAGAATTAGAATTTACTTTTCTGTATGACACAATACTTGGTGACATTAAAAAAAAAAAAAAATTACTTGTGTCTTGCACTCGATACTCCATACTCCGTATTAAAAAAAAAAAAAAACGAACACTAAAACTAATAAAAACTAAATTGAAATGAAGCATTATCGAAAATTTAAAAACTAATAAAAACCAACAAACCGGCCGTAAAAACGAGTTCAATCTAAGTGCGGTTTAACAAAACAAAAAGGCAAAATGAAATGCAATCTAACCGTGATGTGAAAAAATCCGAAACGATGATCGCCTTTGCCTCACTCAGCGGCAAAGATTTGAATCCAACAACTGCCAAGGTAGATGTGCCAACAACTGGGCGCTGCCCCGTCGTGAACTCAACAATGTAAATCTCATGTCAAATCACCTCTGGATGACCTTGGGCAAAATGTGACCTTTTTTTTTTCTATTTTTAATGAAGTCATGAATCTCCACAGGGCTGAGCAGAAAATATGGAGAGGATCATTTTTACCCCCCAGCAAAGCCATTTGTTGACTCGACCCACCTGCCGGCCGCTCATTGTTGACTCTGCCGAGGCCAGTCGGTATTGGAAAGGCTCCACGCGGGTGCGTATCGACCGGCCCGAAAGTGGACCGCTCCCTCCATCTCGACTGTGTGTCACAGCGAGTCGATTAAAAACCGGAAGGCCCGTTCGATGACACCGGCCGGCAGAAGTGACAGCTGGAGGAGGACTGGAAAGAGAGTCGAGTGGGATGGAGAGGTGAAAAGATGCTCCTGTCATTCGGTGGAGCACCCCCCCTGAGCGCACACCTTCTGAGTTGCCGACACAAATGCAACATGTCCTTTCTCACTTGTCGTACGGCAATGCGACAGTCTAAACTCGTAACGTAGGAATCTAAACGTCGCCCACTGTGCCAAATCTGCGATCGATGATCACCAAAATTTATGTCGACATCTTAACTTTGTGTATCACATCAACCTCTGAAAATATTAGAATGATCACCCACGTATGAGGGATTTTAGGGACCGTACAATGCAGCCGGCTTTCTTAATTGGCTGGATTGATCGTTCGTGAAATGGGTGTCTGTAGGTACTTTATGTTCTGACTGTACGCTAAGTGGCAGTGTTGCTATAAAAACCCACTTCTGTTCTTGCTTAGTCTGTCCTTTAAAAAAAAAAAAAAAAAAATCAATCTTTGGTCCTCCGTCCCAAAAATGGGCGTCCATCTGGGACGGACGGATGGACCGTTCCCTCCCTGTGCCGTCCGTACCGGTAATGCTCATCTCTGTGTGACACAATACAACTCAGTCAGTGACAATGTAAGAGAACTATTGAATTAAAAAAAAAAAAAAAAAAAGAACACAAGAACACACAAACTTCTAATCATATATTTAGGAAGTAATCTGCCCAACAAATAATGTCAGAATTTCAATATCAGGATCAAACAGAGAAGGGCTGCTGGTGAAACCCGGTTTGATTACGATGCTGTTGCCAGGGTTACCTGACTCAGTGATACATCGGTCCAGTATTTTGAGACACTGTTTGTCATTCACACACACACACACACACACACACACACACACACACACACACACACACACACACACACACACACACACACACACAAAGTGGAGTGGGATAAGAGGATGCGAAATGTCAAAGGACCCTCAGTCCCATCAGAAAAGATCTTTTTGTTCCGCACTAAAGACCGGTCAGCTGCTGTGCCAGAAAAGGAAGCGGCGAGAATGTCAGGATGTTGGCGCTCATCTTTTCCTGGACCCCCCCACCCCCCACCAAAATAAATAAATAAAAACAATTAAATAAAACAAAAAGAAGGAGAGCCATTAAAGACAAAATAATAATTATTATAATTTTCACTCATGGATGCAGTTCATACACTACACTGTGTGTATGTGGCAAAAATCACTGTTTTTTTTTTTCCACATGATGTCGGTGGGCTGACCTCAGTCTTTGTGTTCAAGCAATTAAAAAATATAATAATAACAGGTGCCCTTTTATGAAATCTTCAGAATTCAATCAGTGTGTAGCGTGTGGGTGTGAGGATGTGCGGGTGTGCTTTGCTTGACAAGAGGTGACGGAGCAGGCGTCTCTCGAGAGACGCAGACACCGATCGGCATCGATCCAGAGGAGCACTCTGGGGGTGCAAACGTCTCCCGGGGAGCAGCCCTGCCCTTGACAAGTCGACTGGACTGACGCACGCGCATGGACTCGCACACATAAACAAACGTGTCTGGCATGCCTCTCTCATCTTCTGTCTCCTCTGCCTCACCTGAGCGAGATCCCGCATGCGACAGGCACTCGCTCATTTCCAATTACCAGGCAGCCAGCCGCCGTTCCGAGACAATCCCTCGCCAAAACTTGATTAGCCGTTCCCATGGCGTCGGCGGGACAGCAGATGAAGTCGGCGGTCGCCGCGCTCGGGGTTATTTTGCAAGCGTATCTCGTTTTCTATCCGCTGACAAAGGACGGAAAACTTTGAACGATCGACAGATCGATATCGTTGCTTTTTATTGAGTAAAATAATTCTGCCCGGAGAAGTTGTTGCATCCCTTCCGAGTTTCAGTGACAAAAATAGAGCAAAAGGAAAAAAAAAAAGGCACAAAAAAGTCATGACAATGTATTGATAGTTTAGCGATTTCAAGAGCACCAAATTAATTATTTTAAAAAAAAGTATCAAAATCAATGCCGCGGTGTGATCTTGCGATATTGTGCACGGCGGCGACTAAATGTAAGATGCTGTCAGCAGCCACAGCGACTGAGGGTATGTGTTTCTGTAGCAACCATCAGCCTATGATAGATTGCCAATGCCACTTTTATGACATCACGCTCAAGACGCGCTTCTTTTTGGACACATACTCGAGCAAGTGAGCTGGCCAATTAAAACTCATCCGCCCAGCGATTGACCGGCGGCTCTTCCCGAGCCAACTGGGTTTGGCTTCTTAGCTTTGGAAAAGGACGGCTGGAAAACCGAAAAAAAAAAGGACGCTGGGGTCTCTCGCCACGTGAGTTGTCCCGGCCGCCACGTGGAGGAGACGAAAAAGAAGAAGGCGAAGAATCCGCAAAGAAAGTCACAATGCGGCGAGAGTGAGAGACAGAAGGTGTGTTCTTTTCCTCCTCATCTGACAACTGCGATATGTGAGGCAGCAGCTGAGACTTGGATTGAAGCAAAGCGCGCCATCTGCCGCCGCGAAAAAGCCGCCATCTTGTTCCTTGATATTAATACTCACGCTCATAGCAAGACGAAACAATCGAGTTTTAAAAAGTGACCGGTGACCAGCAACAGAAATGCCAAAACAAAATAAATAAATAAACAAACAAAAAAATATTCTGAACGACTTCCACTTTAGGACAAAACGGGATATCTCAAAGGTAGATGGAAACAATAAAACCCACCAATAATTCATTCATCTTAACAACACCAACAGCAAGATTTGCTGTAGACCAGAGCACGAAAGCATATCATTTTTTTTTTTTTTTGCAAATAAATGAAAGTACTCTCGGTCCAAAAGAAAAATATGCAACAATGTGTGTCTTCGCTGTACTGCTTACACTGCCGTTGCTTCACTTCCATCAACTAAAATTCTGCATGTTTGGGTTCAAAATGTGGCTGCGTTTGGGATAAATATGACATCTGGTCCGCCTTGTGGATTGAGCCTCTTTTAGCGATAGAGCACATTGGGGTCGGAGTCAGACTCAAACCTCTGCAGTTCTCGGTGTCATGGTGAAAAACAACTTTTCTTTCACCGACGTTAATAAATTCTTCCTTTTCAACACATTGCACACAGTGCTATCTGACCTTTCGACATTTCAGCTGCCCCACACATCCACATGCCAAGTTGTGGTGCAAGTAGGTGTTAACAGACGACGTCTTTATAAAAGGCGTCTCTTTTATAAGAAACGGCAGCCACGCTGGACTTTTTAAAACCGCAGTGAAACGCTGCTAGAAGGGAATGATGTTTATTGGCAAAACATTTTAATGGCATATTACTGAACGTGCTCTCGGAATTCAACCTTGTCAAGATGTACGGTATTTGTTGCTTTTTTTGTATTGTTTGGATAAAAGTGTTGTAACAAACTCTTCATCGATTAGCCGAGACTCAGATTAGTGCTGAAGGAGGCTGAGGGAGGCAGATAGACAGGGTGAAAGCTGGCTAGCTAGCTAGCTTAATAGTTAGCAAGCTAGTTAGCTCCAGATCGATATTTAGATTAGCCGAGACTCAGATTAGTGATGAAGGAGGCTGAGAGAAGCAGACAGACAGACAGACAGAAAGCTGGCTAGCTACAAAGCTGGCTAGCTTAATAGTTAGCTAGTTAGTTAGCTAGTTAATTCCAGATAGATAGACAGATAGATAGATAGATAGATGCTTTTATTTTAAATTCATGGTCGTTAGAATTGGTAAAAGTTGGTAAAACTTTCTTTCAGGTCGTGCTCTTTAATTTTGGCCGTTTTTCAGGTCACCATCAGTGATTTAAATCATGATAAATGTGCTGGCAACTCGGAGCTGGATCAAGCTGAACACACACACACACACACACACACACACACACACACACACACACACACACACACACACACGCACACACACACACACGCACGCACGCACCAACGCACACAAACGTATAGGTTGCATCTAGAACAGTTCACACAGCAGACGCTAGAGGGCGCTGTGGATATTTATTAGCGTGTCTCCTCGATATCTTGCTTCCTGAGGGAACAGACACACACACACACACACACACGCACACGCACACACACACGCACACACACACACACACACACACACACACACACACACACACGCACACACACACACACACACACGCACACACACGCACACGCAGATGCACACGCACACACAACATGCGCAGGTGACATTTAAATATCTTATGAGATGCTCACAGATTGCCTTCGCTGTTGGTGCGCAAAAGAGAGAGGAAGGGCAGTTTGTAAGCGCACCCTTTAGAGGGGATCAAACCAGCTAAATGACACATCAAACCATGAGCCCCAAGCGGTACAGTATCAATACGTCAGCATCAGGTATCGACTGTTCTGCTTTTATCCTTCTCATCTCAGCAACCAATCCAAACATGTTTGATAACACTGTTCCTTTTTAGCAACGTCCGCCTCACAGTGCAGAGGTCGCGGGTTCGATTCCGGGCCCCGGCCACCCTGTGTGGAGTTTGCATGTTCTCCCTGGGCCTGCGTGGGTTTTCTCCCGGCACTCCGGTTTCCTCCCACATTCCAAAAACATGCATGGCAGGCTGATTGAACACTCTAAATTGCCCCGAGGGGTGATTATGAGCGAGAATGGTTGTTCGTCTATGTGTGCCCTGCGATTGGCTGGCAGCCGGTTCATAGTGCGTCCCGCCTACTGCCTAAAGACAGCTCCAGCGCGCCCACGACCCTCGTGAGGATAAAGCGGTTCAGATAATGAATGGATGGATGAAACACATGAAGCAGGAACTACTGTGTTACATTCAAGTCCCAATCAGCAAACAGTAAAACAAAAATAATGCTAATGGAAGACACCACTGCTGTCAAAATAATCCAAAATTAAGAATTACTGTTTCGACAAAATAGTATTTTTAGCTTTGCTGTGGGAATGGACTCCAGTATCAGGGAGCCTTGTATCCTTGTACTCCTATTTCAATATCAATCTGCCCACCTCTACTGGCTGTCATAACTTTGCGTTTGACAAGTTTGGCTCGGGTCGCTTTAAAAAGTCCTCTTCCTGTTCTTGTCTTGTTCACGTGCAGTTTCTGTCCTCAGACAAAATCAACGGGAGGATGGACTCTTGTTTACCTTTGCATCACATCGCAAAGCGTGTGCGGAGGCATGCGAAAGCCTGAGCAGCTTGCTCGTTTGGGACCTCACGCCAGTTTTGATCAATGAAGCAGCAAACGAGGTTGCGTTTCATTGGTTCACGAGCGCCGTAGATAGCGATATGTGCTGCTCCAAAAAATAAAGGGAACGCTCAAACAGCACAATGTAAAGTGTTCCCTTTATTTTTTTTAATATATATTTTTAAAATTATATATATATATGATATGATACACTTTGCTTAAAATGTCAAAATGGAGAACTCTCGACCTCGCTTTACCTTTCTTGCCAACCACAGTGAAAAGATGTTTGGAAAGGGATCAATCAAAGTTAATGAACTTCTCAGAAAGCCTCCTCATCGAATGACAAATAACCTTAGCTCGATTGTCCTGACGCTGCGCGCCGACTCGCCAACCGTCATCTGTTGTGTCTAACGTTGGCGGCGTACCGTTTGCCTCAACACATTGACTTTCTTCTGTTCCTCCTTTGCTCACAGCCAACGATTGCGCAGATGACAACCTGACGACCTTGTACCTGAACATAAAATACAAGAACATGTGTTCATACAGCATTCCCAACGAGAGACCAGACCCTTCGCCAAGGCCAAACAACCAATTGTATAATGTACGTATACAATCTATGTATACTGATCGTCTCCAAAGAGATGTCCTATCTGGTGTTGACTTTGCCCGCAGGTAAACCGGTTACACTGAAAAGAAGCGAGCGATTTGCGGAAACCAATGCGCTCCATTGATTGTTATCAATGCTCGGGCAGCCCACTGTACAAGGTATGTTGCCCTTTTTCCTGCTTACCACACTCAAACGCGTATCCCTCAATCAAATGACTCAAGTACAATTTAATTTTTAGTTGGGATCTTGATCGAATAACTACTACTTTGAAGAACAAAAAAAAAAGTTGGAAGGTTACGCAAGAGCAGTGCAAGTTGCTGTAGGGAATTAACATGCTCCTCAGAGTGAAAAACAATATTAAATATGTAAAAACCAAGGTTGAGATGAGAGTCAAGGGTGCATGTGGATAACTTTTTTTTATGTGCACTTTTTGTATTGTTGCTGCTTTCTGGAGAGTTCTCATGCAAATCAGGTAAAAAAGAAAAGTGCTGCAGGAGTGTGTCAATCAATCACATTTAGTGGCAATTACATGATTTTGATGGTGTGGAACAGAGAAACAGCTCACACAGACAGACACAAAAAACATTCCTCCCCAAATTCTGTTAATGTGTATTTCTATCAGTTTTTTTTTTTTTTGTGATTAAAAAAAAGAACTAACAACCCTTTTAGATTGGAATGATAGTGCATTTTTTTTATTGGACAGCAATGAAACGCAGTTCAATGTGTGCTGCATTTTCAAGATAATTTTCATCCGTTCGTTTTTGGTAGGGTTCGTCCTCGTTTGTGAAAAAATTTTTCATTTTTTTGTTGTTGTTTAAATGTCATCTTCCAGAATAGATGGCCACTCAGTGTCTCTACCAGGCGTATGTTCGCATTGTTTCGACTCAACATAAAAACGTTATTAAGTGCATAGGTGATAGTTTAATTTTTTTCAACATGGTTAATTGTCTTACAAGTATATTGTAAATTGGACTTAAGCAGCCTCATATTTACCAGTTAGAAACAATTTAGCGGGCTGAATTTTCAAAATACATCTGCAGATACAACCAAATGTAAATATCCACCAAAATAACCCGACATGGGCCTCATTATACTCCAAATGGCGGTCTTCCGGTGTCTTTTTTGGCATTGCTTCTAGAGGCTTTTTGGTGAGTCTCCCCATGACAGAAATGCCCAGCAAGCGCCATGTTTATCAGGGAAATTGGCTTTGCATGCTTTTTCAATTTTTTTTTTTTTGTGTGTGTGTGGGGGGGGCTGCAGATACAACCAAATGTAAATATCCACCAAAATAACCCGACATGGGCCTCATTATACTCCAAATGGCGGTCTTCCGGTGTCTTTTTTGGCATTGCTTCTAGAGGCTTTTTGGTGAGTCTCCCCATGACAGAAATGCCCAGCAAGCGCCATGTTTATCAGGGAAATTGGCTTTGCATGCTTTTTCAATTTTTTTTTTTTTGTGTGTGTGTGGGGGGGGGGGGGGGGGGGAAATTTTAAGGTGT